TTTTCTGACGCCTCATCCACCTACTCGATTGTTTGTGCTTAAAGAAGGCACCCTGTACCGCTGCAACGGGAACACAAATGGACAAGAACTGCTCCTTGTGGCGCCTTCCCACTTCAGTTCGAGTGTTATCGCCCAGCTCCATGACGCCCACACCGCCGGTCACCTGGGTCTTTCTCAAACGTACGACCGTGTTCAACGTCGATTTTACTGGCCCAGGCTCTATCGCTTCGTCCGCCACTGGGTCACCGCATGCGACTAGTGCAAACGTCAAAAAAACCTTCTGTGTGTCGTACCAGACTCTTCCAGCCACTAAATCTTCCCATTGACATCTTCTTTTGACTTGGTCTTAACCTCCTAGGCTCCTTTTCTGAGTCTACCTTCGGAAACGATTGGTTCTGCTCATTTAGACTGTGTCATGCTACACAGCAAGCCCACGTCATCACTTTCTGTATCGCGTAGTGTGGATGGAATCGTCGACCATGTGAATTGAAAAGCTTTAAGATTTGGCTGCTTGCAAGTTTTTTCACCCTGTACGCATGTTGTTCTACTACCTGGTCAAATATTATTGATATTATTTCTGATTTTACGTATCCAACTGATAATTTGGGTTTTACGTATCGCACAACTAATTATGCCATCACTCTGGCTTTGCCGACTAGCTGTGCCACAAATGTTGCCGGTTTACTTTTGTACGCGTTGTCATTCTCTATCATGGTGCTCCACGCCCACTACTCACAGATCGGGGACGCTATTTTCTGTCCCGAGCTATTGACGACCCGCTTCACTCTTGCGAGACCAACCAAATTTACGACGGCCTACCACTAACAAAAAAGTGGACTTACCGAACGATTCAACCGGACTTTAACTGACATGCTCTCTATGTACGTCTGCTCCGACCACCTAGACTGCGATGTTTCATTGTCCTTTATTACATTTGCATACAACTTCTCGAGCAACGATAACGCTGGATTTTTACCATTCTATCTCTTATTTGCCCACAACCCGACTCCATCTTTCGACACCATCTTTCCGATAGCTGTATATTCACTGACTGAACGACCAGAGCTCGCAAAGCACGAGAAGTCGCTCGTAAGCACCTTTTAGCATCGCAAGAGCAACAGAATAAGCAAGGTTACGACCCATGTCATCGCGACGTTTCCTTTGGTCCGGGTTCTCTTGTGTTGTTGTAGACCCCAACTCGGGATTGGTCTCTGAAAACCTTCTTTCCAAGTATTCAGGACCCTACCACGCCTTCGCCAAGGGACCGACGTCACATAAAAAATAGTACCACTGAAGTCTTCATCTCCTTCAGCTCCACTGTCTACGGACATTGTTCATGTCTCCCACCTTAAGCTCTACCACTCTGCAATAGCATAGAAAGCACTGAGATGGTGCTTCAGCAACCGAAGGTCACGTTACAATACTACGTTACGCTGAAGAACCAATAAGAGATGCTGTGAGAAAGACGACGTAATTTTAGAATGTGGGGTGCGCTCTCGCTTGCCATCTAGGCTTACGCTTTGCGTCGTGAAAGTATATCTGAGCTATCGCCTCGTTTCTCTGCGTGCTCTCCCGTAACAACATCTTAGTAATCTGTGATTCGCTGATGAAATTGCCTTGATAAGTTTCTCTGGGGATTAATCACAGCTCATGATCAATGAACTTTACACAGAAAGTAAAAGAGTAGGTCTGAAAATATTATGCACAAAACTAAAGTAATGTGCAACCATCTGAAAAAAAACACTTTGCACTAGGCGGAGAGACGCTGAAAGTTGTGAAAAGGAATATATCTACGTAGGATAAGTAGTTACCGTGGGGCCGAGGCATGAGAGCTAAATAATTAGAAAAATAAGGATGGGGTAGATGACATTCGGTAAGCATTCTCAAATCATGAATGGTAATCGGCCACTAAGCCTCAAGAGGAATGTTTATAACAGCTTCATCATGCTGGTACTTCTACCTACAGAGCAGAAACCCAGATGTTTACAAAAAGTGTTCAGCTTAAATTAAGGACGACACAGCGAGCGAGCCCTGCTGCGGTGGTCTAGTGGCTAAGGTACTCGGCTGCTGACCCGCAGGGCGCGGGTTTGAATCCCGGCTGCGGCGGCTGCATTTCCGATGGAGGCGGAAATGTTGTAGGCCCGTGTGCTCAGATTTGGGTGCACGTTAAAGAACACCAGGTGGTCTAAATTTCCGCAGCCCTCCACTACGGCGTCTCTCATAATCATATAGTGGTTTTGGGACGTTAAACCCCACATATCATCACGCAGCGAGCGATTCAGAGGAAAATGATAGGTGTAACTTTAGGAGAACAGAAGAGAATCAATTGGGTCAGGGAACAAACCGGTGTTAAGAACATATAATTAAAATCAACACGAAGAAATGAACATATGCTGGGCACGTAGCACGTAGGCTGCATAACTGCTGGTCATTAAGGGTTGACTGAATTCTTCGAAAAGGCAAACGTACAAAGCGGACACAGAAAAAAAGTTCGCATGCAGGTACAACTTGGCAGCAGAAAGCACAAGGCTGGATTGATTGGCAAATCATGGGAGATGTCTTTGTCTTTCAGTGGGCGTAGTAAGGCGGATGATGATGATTTAAACGGAAATATTAGTCATTCATGCGTGAGCGCACCTTCTGTTATTGTATAATTTAAATAAACACTCTCTGAGCATGTTCACCTGATGTCAGCGATGCAGTGTTGTGACGTCATAAAGATGTTTATATAACCTGCAGTTTAGAGAGCAAATGACTAGTTGGATCTACGCGCTTGCGCTTACACATTTTTTAGACGTCCTCGTTTGTGTGTGATCCTCTGCTATACTGAAGCTTTATTTTATTCATATGACTGGTGAAATGACTGGCTTAAGGGAAATTCAAAATACACGATATTCCAACATCAAGTTGTCAAAAGTAAAATAGTTTGTTTACACGGCTATTTATTCTATTGTGGTTAGCTATATCAAGGTTTCACCGTAAAGCGTGTGTAGGATTCGAAGATGTCCATAACAAACAAGTTTAGCATTGCAGCGATAACTCTATAGCGTTGTAGAAGCATGGCAAATGGTAAATTGGCAGAAGGCGAGTATAGTCAAGAGACTGGACACGCATGAGCACGGCCTTGCAAGAATATTTTATAAGGACATAAACAATCACACCTAAATGGCAAAATACCCGTTTGAATCCTTGTTCTCATCTTCCTCTCATTTATCTTGTGTCATGCTACACCAGCAAGTCCACACTATTACTTTCTGTATAGTGTAGTGTGGATGGCATCGTTGACCGTGTGAATTGAAAAGCTTCAGAATTTTGCCGCTTGCATGTTTTTTCACCATGTACACATGCTTGTCTACTACCTGGTCAAATATTATTGATAATATTTTGGGTTTTACGTATCCAAACCACAATATTAGGAGCTTCCACTGGGGAGGGCTGCTGAAATTTGCACCATCTGAATTTCTTTAGTGTGCACTGACACTGGACTGGACACAGGCCTATGAGATTTAGCCTCAGTCAAAATGCGACCACCACGACTAGGATCGAACCCACGAATTTTGGATGAGCAGCCAATTTGCATTGCCATTGACCCCTTGCGGCGGACAGGGACTGTAAACTGAATACAAAAGTCTTAGTATATAGCGAAAATAAACGTTCATATTTTTTTGTGGAATTTATGTGCTCTCTAACTTTGTTCGCAAAGAAACTTAAGTGAAGATTGATTTTGGGAAGAGAAGTTATTAAGATGATGAAGATATTGTTACTATAAAAGCAAGCCCTGTTGTGGTGGTCTCGTGGCTAAGGTACTCAGCTGCTGACCCGCAGGTCACGGGATCCAATGCCGGCTGCGTCGGGTTCAAGTTCAATGAAGGCGAAAATGCTGTAGGCCCGTGTGCTCACATTTGGGTTCATGTCAAAGAACCCCAGGTGGTCAAAATTTTCGGAGCCCTTACACGGCGTCTCTCATAATCATAAGGCGAATTTGGGACGTTAAGTCTCACAAATCAATCAATAAATCAATCAATCACCTATTAGAACGTTCCACATCGTTTGAGTTTTTTTACAATTTAAACTATGCAACAGAATCTCACCAATGTGGAAATATTTGACCACCTTGTTATTAAGTAACGAATGAACTATCCGTAATTTACGTCCTATTGCTTTCATTGGTACACAGAAACCTTACTCTTTAGATACACTTTATTTCATTCCTGCTTTCTGGACGCCCGTGAGCTTAATACTTCTGATGCCTGAGAAATTTTTCAAACAGCATAAAAATAATCTTCGCTGTAAGTAGGCGATTACCGTCTCTCTAAAAAAGGAGATTGCATATAAAAAAGCTGCAGCATTTGAAGTATATACACTTCACAAGGCGTCAGCGCGTATTCACCAGTCGCAAATAGGGGGAACTTTTAGGTAATTGCAATAAATAATGATGCAGAAAGCTTTACAGGAATCTCTGAGTAATCTTTTGGTGCGGGGTTGTCTACGAAACTCTGCTCTCTTCTTGAAGAAGAGAGCAGAGTGGATTAGGGAACAAACGAGGGTTAAGGATAACATAGCTGAAATCAAGAAGAAGAAATGGACATGGGCCGGGCATGTAGCGCGTAGACAGGATAACCGCTGGTCGTTGAGAGTAACTAACTGATTTCCCAGAGAAGGCAAGTGGGTTAGGGGGAGACAAAAGGTTAGGTGGGCAGATGAGATTAAGAAGTTTGCGGGTATAAATTGGCAGCAGCAAGCACAGGACCGGGTTATATGGCGCAACTTGGGAGAGGCCTTTGTCCTGCAGTGGACGTAGTCAGGCTGATGATGATGACGATGATGATGATGATGATGATGATGATGGTGATGTCTACGAAACTGAGAGGTGAATCAAAAGCAAAATTCACGTTTGCGGTATGCGTTTATTCGAAACTAATTAGAATAAAGAGTCAAACAACGAGTTCCTAAACATGCATGCCTGCTAATAAACTAAATCTAGCTTCCTTTTTTTCCAGGGTTGTAGTACCAGTGGTATTTCTCATACTGTGCATACAGCTGCTACCACTAGCCATACAAGGCCCTAACACAAACAAGTACTATCGAGATATCCACATGATGGTCCATACTCACTGGAAACATTTTCTACTTCAGGTGTACAATTTCAAGCACGAGATACGATCGGTAAGCAGTCTGTCGTTGAAATGTCTGTCAGTATACCTGTGTCTATAAATGTCCAGACACTCCCGATAAAAATTGTCATCATGAGCAATGTTCTAATCTACTTGCTTGTAGAGAAACTTTAGGAAGCGATATGCCACTTTATAGTATATTTAGGGGAGAGTTGAAAGCTTTTAGATCGCCAAACGTAACATTCTAAGATTAAGGGGTGGTATCGGTATACCTTCCGGAACTGGGACAGAAAATACGGCCTTAGCTGTAATTGTAGCCAGCCATCCATGTTTCCTATTAGCCACAGAGCACAGTCACGCATTAAATTTGGTTGTAATATTCTATATTGTATTCATTAGGACTTCATGTTTTTGGGCACGATGGATTTATATTAGCAAGCTCACATCCAAACCCTTTTAATTCTAGAATTTAGCTACAGAGGTCGGCTGCTTACCCAAAAGTCACACGTTTGACCCCAACTACAGATGCCTCATTTTGACAAGAGGCGAAATGCTAAAGGCCAGTGCATTCAGATTTAGGAGTACGTAACATCGGGGTATGAAAATTTCTGGGGCCCTTTCATACGGTGGGGCTCAAAGTCCTATTATGGTTAGAACGCTTAAAACCACAGCAAATATGTTATTAACTGAACAGTGTATCTTCAATTATGCATGCTCAAGAAATGTCGTGTCATGAACAAGAAAACGGGATAAAAGTTTATTATGTAGCTAACTTCCTCAAATAACGCAATTTGTTAATACGTACGCTGTTGTGGGAGGTTTTAGAAATTTTTTCGCGGTTAGAAATTTTTGAGCCGCCGCATGGCATATAATTTTTTTTCCATTTACATAGAAATGCTAGTGCCACTATCCCGGAACTCGTATGCGTGATTTCGTGTTCACCAGCGAATATCATAGTTGCACATATAGCACAAATGGTAAAATCAAATTCAAACGATTGTTTGACAATGCCGCTTTCATTATAGTTTACGCCCGGAATTTAGGGCTTCAATAGAGGGCTTGCAGTCGGCCATAAAAAAGTGTTTGCACAAGGACAGCGTTTTCGCTCTTCAAGCACTGTTGGCTGTGATCATTTGAAAGTCCAGAGCTCCACGACATGCCATGCTTAACAATTCTTCCTCACACATTAGGCACAATCCCTTTGGAGTGTGTATTTTTGTTAAGCTTTTCACAGTACGTAGCCCATCTCCTACGCTAACCGTATTCGCCACCGTCTTTTTGTTCTATCTCCAAACAGATTGCATTGATTCACATCTGGTACGTTTCTACGGACTTCCAGCTATTCCTGGTGTCCCTAGCCGTCATCCTGGTTCTCAGATGGTAAGAAGTGAGGGGCAGCGACTTCGTACAGTATTTATCAGATTGTCAAAATGCGTCTATCAACACTGCTTTTAAGCTACCCCTTCTCCCAACTCAGAGGTGCCAACTTGAGAAATTGTTTCATATCTCAGATTTCTGCGCTTTTCGAATATTATTTACTCGTGCCTGTTGTACATCTTCTTTTTTTTTGTAAAGCCAGGCCCATCACAAGCACGTGCTGCATACAGCAACCACTGCGTGCAGCATGTTCTTTGAATGTTGTACTTGCTGAATGCAGGTCCAAGCTTTGGTGCGTGGGGGCCTTCGTTGTCCTGGCCATCCTAAGCTGTGTGGTGTGCACCCTGCAAATTCACAAGACAGAGATGAGTCCATTCATCATTGGAATGACTGAAGAATTTAGGTAAGTGTTTTACTTATGATCGTAATGGCGCATAAGCTGAGGAGGAAACACCGCTATCCTTATGAAATAGTAAAGCACTCCTAACTGAGCCGACATTTCACCAGATGCCATTTACAGCGATCAAACACAGCATGGTTTGTTACAATGAAAAAACGTATATTTTTTGAACGACATTGGTGCCTTGATTAAGGTATTCAGTTGATCGCAAAATGCCGTCAACAAAACATTTTGATTCTGGGACGAGGAATACTGGAGCACTTGCTGGGACGTTGGCGCAGACAATTTCGTCGGTGACTGTTACGTGTGTTGAATAATACACGACCCAGAACTAGCGGATATATCATTGTGATACCTTGGCTGCATGAAAATTGGAGCTGGCACGCTTGCTGACATGAAGCCAAAACAACTTCTTCTCCTGCAGGTTTAGTGCTATTCATATGCTCAAAATTCCTAAAGCAATTGTAGCATTGCCGGCTTCACCCACAAAGCATGTGTGTCGTTTACTCCGTCGCGAGTGTGCTCTGGAGTTAATAGGAAAAAGTTTCGTTTCATTGTGAAATGAGTGCTATGTATGCTCCTTTTCTTTTGTTGCTTTCTGGAGACACTGAGCTCAATTCTGCGCCTTTCGCGAAATATGAAATGGATTATATGAAAAATATGCTAGATAACTTTATGACTAAGAGAGTGTGGATGCCAGAATAACTAACTGTGATACTAAGATGGCTGAAATCGTGAGCTAGCTAGAGGTGACTAAAGGCCACATAGACAGCATTATGAAATTTGTGCAACAGTAAGTAACTGTAACTAAGGATCTAACTTATGAAGTGAGAGTTCTACAAAGAAAAACAGTAATATTGAAAACAGAGGCTGCAGAATGAATGTTGTGTTTTATTGCATATAGATGGTAAAGACCTGCGTGAAACTGGGAAACAGTCTCAAGCAGTCGTTAAATGCATCTGTACTGCACAACTGGGATATAACCTGACGACAGTTCAAAGGGCACATCGTGTAGGCCGTTCTAATGAACGGAGAAAATAACCAATTATTGCGAATTTTTCACCCGAAAAAGAAAGAGGCCGTTCTGAAAAGAATCTAGGAACTTCAAAGATACACCGCACACCGTTGAGCAGGATTTTTTTTTTCAAATGTGTTGGTTGCGAGAGAAAGTTTGGGATGACGACAAAGTGGGAAAGACAGATAAAAAGAGCCAGGTTAAGCAAAAGCTGATAAACTGATTATAAATGTTAATTTATTTTATATTACGATAAAGAGGATGACGTCGTATCCTGCAAAAAATTGTGTAATCTATGCTTATCGTGATTTATTATTGTAGCAGTGAATTTCCGACAGCTTTGCGGCGAAGGCGAAGCAATACGCGATAACAACAAATTGGAAGGTCACACACTGAATGCAAGCAGATCGAACGTGCCTCACGTTTCTCTCGCACAAGTGACGCACGAAACGTACTCACAAGTACAGATGAACACGAATAAGCGCCTCAGTTGTTACTTCGCTGAGTCTGAAAAGCGCACCCTTTGCCCAAACGGAGACTGTGCAACATTCGCAGTGACCTTTGTGCACCAAGTATTTGAAACAGAAACGTTCTAGTGAAAATCCAACGCCAGCCAAGACGTACGACCGTCTCCAACGCGAGATTAGGGTACGGTGTCTACAAATATACTGCCTAGTGTGATGAGCACGCGCAATCCGTACGAAAGAGGGTGGCCGCGCATGTGATGACCACTCAGATGCCACAAGTGGCGCTGCGTGTTGAGTGGGTGCACGAATGCGCGAACTTCCTTTCGTCCTGTTGCTGCCGGAGCGTCGCCACGTTTAAAATCAGTGTGTGACAGCTGCCATCTGATTTACTGTGATGTTAGACGGCGCCATATGTACACTGCAACACCCAAAGATGTTCAAAACTAAGCGGCAATTGAAAGAAAGGACGTGTATTGTGCCACTGTGTCAAAGAAGTTATCAGTCGAACGAGGAAAAGGTGTCTTGTTCCCCACACTAACGGATCCAGCATGGCTTCCTCAATGAAAAAGTATGATCAAGAGGGCAGGCAGAAGGCTGAATCCGAAGGCTGTCGTGCGAGAAAAGCATTCTGAGAGTGACTCTATCGAACTATCTTTTCGGATCAGGGTGAATGGTGTCGGGAATGAAATCGCCCTTTTGGCAAAATTTCAAACAATAATATTTATCTAAAAATTTAAAATGCCCTTTCGAACTTCATTCACACAGTTTTTCTCCCATGTCAACATCGGACTTCCTTTCCAACAACGTTTTGAGTATCATATGCGGCGAGTGTCAAATTATTCATTCGCATGTTATCATTTTTTGTTTTCACTCGAATCCTAATGGAATGCAGGCTAGGAGGTAAAGTGTTTAAAGTTTTCTCTGATAATTCTTGCTCTCAACACCAAAGCACGTTTTAAAAAATAATATGGTGGTTATACTGTCGATGGTCTTTAAAATTAATTTCTTTGCGTATTGTAAACACCTTGAGCATCTATCTATCTATCTATCTATCTATCTATCTATCTATCTATCTATCTATCTATCTGTCCATCTGTCCATCCGTCCATCCATCTTTCCATCCATCCATCCGTGTCTGTTCGTCCGTCCGTCTGTCCATCTGTCTGTCTGTCAGTCCGCGTGTCCATCCGTCCATCTGTTCACCCGTCTGTCTGTCTGTCCATCCATTCGTCCGTCCGTCTGTCTGTCCGTCCCTCTATCCGTCCATTCGTCTGTCTGTCCGTCTGTCCGTCCGTCTGTCTGTCCGTCTCTCTGTCTGTCCCTCCGTTCGTCTATCTGCCCATCTGTCTGTTCGTCCATCCGTCCGTCCGTCCATCTGTCTGTCCGTCTATCTATCTATCTATCTATCTATCTATCTATCTATCTATCTATCTATCTATCTATCTATCTATCTATCTATCTATCGAATCGCCTACGTCTGGGTACCCTCTCGATCACCCCCTTAACTTAAGGTCTTAGAAATATTTTGCAAGAAGAGCCAAATGTTCGTGAAACATCGATGCTGGTTCCAGTGTTGACTATCCAGTTTCTTGCATATATTTAGCGCCACTTCATATGCTTCACCTAATAAAAAAATCACAACAGAGTCCCCTTGCATTGCATTGATTCCCAAGTTACGTGCGATCTGCGTCTTTTTTTTTTTTTGCGGGCAGCAGCGGACGGCAAAATGTATGCCACGAAATGATCCTCATTTGGTAATGCAAAGCGACAGTTTTGTGAAAGCAATCGAGTAGTTCTTATACATTAAAGCTTTATGTAAAAAATCACTCCGAAAATGGAGGAAAATAATAGTTGGCCTCGCGCGGCTCGGCCTCCTGTAGACTTCGCAGCGCTTGCAAAGCGCAAGGATTGAACGGTAATGCACCCACTCGCACAGCAGCGCACCATGCGGGCGCTGCCGGCAGTCATCGGCTGCGGGGCCATCTCCTAGCCCGCGCTCAGCACACTAGGCAGTATATTTCTAGACACTGTAATAAGGTGCCTGAGCGAGCGTCCACCTTATCCACTCTGAGAGGCTAAGTGCCTGTAGGAGATGAGAACGCACGCCACCGCGCGCTTATCGCGCTACCGTGCTGGTAATGTTGAAAACGCTCCACGTTTCCCACATAGCCCCCCCCCCCCTCCCCCCGAGACACGCGCCACCACGAGCTCATTGCGCCATCTTGCTGATATTGCTGAAACACGATAGTCCTCCCCCGAGATACCCATCACCAGCGATAAGCGGTAGATATAAATAGCTTGCCGTTTCAGCTTTCATCGATGTGCCGCAAAGTGGCTCAGTGGTTAACGCCTCACATTCACGATTAAGAGGTTTCACGTTCGGTTCCGCGCGTTGGAGTTTGACGACTTTTTTTTCTTTCCTGCGTTTTCAAAGACATATAAATACGTACACATATACGGTGACAGACGGCGACGCCGACGTGGACGTATACGTTTAGTGACGGTGACGGCAACGCCGGTGCGAAATCCAGCGGGAGTGTACATACAATTGTTATCGCAATAATAATGAGCTCATTAGCTTGGTTGAGTCTCGAAGGAAGATATTGTGTTCGGTGCAAAGTCTTGAATGACTCGACGCAGATATTACTGATAGCGAGGTGTTTCCGCACCACTGCACCGCCTATCGCAAAGATAAGTCGAGTCTTGGCAGCAGTGTTTTCTTGTTGGTTCAATCATCACTCTCATCTTCTATGATTGACATTGGAAGTGATGCGATCGAGTCGGTTTGGTGTACTTTTACGCTGGGTAACAAGTTTTCTCTCGTGGCCGAGACATTCTAACATTCGCCTGCCAGCGCACACTTCTGTGTATTGGAAACATTAGGTGATAGACTTTTTGAGGTATGTGACCACACCATAATATTATCTGGTGATTTTAATTTACCTAATCTAACCTGGAAAGTTGATTCATAGGAGGTGTTGCATTCCAGCCGTAGTAATCTTAAAAATAAACAAACATAATTAATACTTTTCGGTGGCTACGGTATGTTTTAGAATCCACAAGACTTAATCATACCCTTGATCTTATCCTTTGTAACTCACCTAATAGAGTGAGTAATGTTAATATCGTTCCAGGTGTTAGCGCCCATCAGGTTGGTGTAGCATAATTAAAACGAAATCTCGGAGAGTAAAAAAGTGTACTAATAGAAAAAAGTTCGTTTTTGATGAAGGCTACTATTTGTCAATTTTCGCACGAATTCTCGAATATTTGCCTGTTTATGAGTGCTTGGTGGAGGATGATGTACAATAATTGTGAAACGCATTTGAATATAACGTACTTAAACTTTCATAGATGTTCATTCCAAGTATGGACTCAGCTAAGCTTAAGATGCGGGAAAAAACAATAGGTGACTTACAATATTCTCAAGATAATTAGAAAACGAAGGTGGGCATTCAAAAGATGAAAAAACAAAACAAAACGGGAAGTTCATTACAAACGCTACAGGAACTGACAGGCGAGTACAAAAAGGTATCGTAAGATGCAAAGAAGCATTTCTTGAACCGTATAAATGAAAATATTTATACGGTTCAATTTCAATTTTTAAAGGAATGTGAGTCTGATCCTGTTAAAATAAATGAACCTATTTTCAGTGAACACACTCTTTCTGGGGATGTAAAAAAGCCACGTGCCTAAATAATTACTTCCAATCAGTCTTTCTTTCCAAGTCGCATTAGGCTCACTTTTGCTAAGTAGTAGTGTTCCTTTTATGCAACCACTCGAATATAGTATTAGTGGCACTGAGGCCTTGCTCGAGAACCTCGACGAAAGTAAAGCTACTGGTCCTGATGGCGTTTTCCCGGAAGTTCTAAAGCAGTGTAATCATCGAATTTCATTTTACCTTTACCTACTCATTAAGAATTCGTTATACTCTGGTTGGTTGCCACAAGTTTGAAAAGTAGCAAACGTAGTCTCAATTCACAAAGGAGGTTCCAAGAAAGACGTCACAAATTATAGACCTATTTCGCGTACATTGATATTGTATAAAATTACAGAACAGTTAATATATAAGCCTATACCAATGATAATTGATATGCAGGTTTTAACGTGCCAAAGCCACTATATGATTATGACAGACGCCGTAGTGGACGGCTCCGGAAATTTCTACCGCTTGGGGTTCTTTAACATGTACCCAAATCTGAGTACACAGTTTTACAACATTTCCGCTTCCATCGGAAATGCAGCTGTCGCAGCCGGCATTAGATCGCACAACTTGTGGGTCCGCAGCCGAGTACCTTCGCCACTAGACCACCATGGCGGGGCAGGCTATAACGAAGCATTCATTAGATCACGTTAGATTTATTAACAAAGAAACAACACGGCTTTCGTAAAGACTTTTTATGAACAACGCATCTCCTTGAGCTTTTTCAACAACTTAGCATCAGCAATAGACTTGGGTGGGCAAACAGACTGCATCTTTCTCGATTACACCAAGGCTTACGACACTGTCTGCAATCATCGGCTTCTTGGAAAATTACGAGCGCTAAATATAAACGAAAACATCCTCAATTGAATTGATAATAACTTGTTTCAACGCCGCCAATGTGTTATTTTCAATGGCTTTGAATCATATTTTCTTGAGGTCACATCAAGCGTACCCCAGGGCTCTGTGCTGAAGACTCTGTTATTTATAATTTTTATTATTGACATTATTGTAGGCAGAGGCTCCAATATACGGCTGTTTGCAGATGATTGCGTCACTTACAGAAAATTCCAAAATGATTATGATGTCAATGAATAACAGGCTGTCCTTGAACGTATTCATCAAAGGTGTCCCAAGTGGCAAGTAAATCTAAACACGAACAAGTGCGTCCATGTGTGTATATCAAAGAAGAAAAAATAATTAATGGTAACTATTATTTAGGGGTTCAGATATTATATAGAAAAAGCTGGCCCAACTATTTGGGTGTATTATTGTCACACGATTGTTTCTTGAATGCGCATGTGGATTATGTGGTTGCTAAGGTTGCGGTGCATTGAACTATATTCAAAAAAATTGAGATGTGCAGATTATGAGCTTACCTCCCCGGTAATGAGGTTTGCCTCACCTGTATTCGAACAATTTTAGTAACACGCGTGTACTATTTGGGATGCGACACAAGTAGGCTTGATTAACTATATTAGAAAAATTTAAAACAGAGCAGCCAGCTTGTTTTGAGTAGGTACACCCCCTTGCTGTAACGCCTCCAGGCAAAGCGGGGTTGTGTATGAACAAAGAAAAATAGACATATAGACTTCTAGCGAAGGCTCCTCATAACCCCGTACGTTCACAAAATGGCGGCTGATCAGCTGCTCATCGCGCTTAGCGCCGTCTTTGTGAGGAGAGAACACTTCCGGTGGAACGAAAAAATAAAGCGGATGTGACGCAATAGTTCGAAAACCAGTGACGTCTTTTGTGTGCACCAGCGCAAAATTTGATGTCAAATTACTTTTCATGAGCCCCTGATCGCTAAGGACTAGCGCTAAGGCAATCCCCGGCGAGTCATCTACTAGTGTACTTCAAGTCAATGGCACAATATCTAAAACAAAATCGTGACTAAAGAGTGTTGTTTAAATGTACAGCTGTTCACTTTCCCTCGGTTTTAAAAAGAAACTTATTCTGCATTTCCGATGGAGGCGGAAATGTTGTAGGCCCGTGTACTCAGATTTGGGTGCACGTTAAAGAACCCCATGTGGTCGAAATTTCCGGAGCCCTCCACTACGGCGTCTCTCATAATCAAATGGTGGTTTTGGGACGTTAAACCCCACAAATCAATCAATCAATCAATCAATCAATCAATCAAAAAGAAACTTATTTTTTGAACTTTCATTCGCCGTTGGTGGCATCTGCCACCATTTGATTAAGGTAACTAACAGCGTAGCAGTGTAAGCAAGTGATATCTGCAGTGTGGCTTATTTCTTTCACACATAAGCAGGTTCTTTGGCATGCTCAATGCTTGTGATCTTCTGTTTTAGCAGGAAAAAATGACGCCTAGTCAAGCCAAAATGATTGCATTGTACTTTTGTAACATCAATGATCATAATAACTCCAATTTATTTCACTGCACAAAATGGCAATAAGAATACAAAAAAACTGCTGACACTGTCTGCGTTATGTTTTTTTTTCTGTTTTTGCAATATGCTCTGATAGAATACTGCTACATATGTGAATGAAGACATGCAAAATATGCCGTAATAGAGAGATAACTCAGCAATCAGCTCCCTGATAACGCGAAAAGTAGGCACTGAATGCTCAAGAAGGAAACCGGGCTTCAGGAGAACTGATTAATGAAAATCCAGCGAGCAGTGCATACCGAACCATTTTCTTTGTTTCTTATCTATAAGACATGGGTCAACAGGCATACGTTTGTTGCTACTGCATCCTCGCACAGCACATCCTTTCCGCAGCTACCGACGAAAACACTCGGTGTTAATTCTCATCGTTCCGCTCCCCTTGGACACGGCACTGAAGACGTTCACTAACGATGAAAGGCACCTAACAATTTCGCGCACAGCAGAGAACGCAAGCAAGCGCACAACACTAAAACACGTGAGGGCGTGGGTTTTCACAGCTGAATTTGTATACCCATGTAGTCCAAGGGCTGTACTGAGTAATACTAGCGTGGGCAGAGAGCGCTAGAAAAAAGTTTTTTGTAATAATAAAAACCTTTGTTTTTATTAAAACATAAATTTAAAAGCATAAATACTTTGTTCTTTACACTTACATAATATTGTTCGGGTGAAGACATTTTAGCGCGATAGCGTTAGAGAGCTCGTGTCGCAGAAATCCCACCGTCGGTGTCGGCCCCGTTGGTCATGAGCGAAAAATCATCTGTGCGACTGTGACCGAAAAATCAAGTTACCGATATTGCCACGGGAAGCCGCTACTTGTCCATGCGTGCGCGAGTGATCAGACTGAAAAATCTGCGCATTTGAAGAAAAAAAGTGCTCAAGGTCACGAGGCTCAGTAGTGTCTTCGCCCCTGTCGCCTCTCCCTTCTTAGCTACCAGCGCTTTCGTCGGGACGAAAGAAAAAATAATGCAATTGCAGCATGCGACAAACCTTTTTGTATATCCACTCGCACTGAATAGATTTTTGAAACATTTCCGGCGTTGAATTCGTGAGGCAATAAGCTCTTCTAGTGAATTCATTCCATGGTTACTTGAAAAAGTGTTTCAAGGCCCCTTTAACGGATTTAATTCGACAGGTGTCACTACGAAAACGAGCCCATTCGGCGATATGTAGGTGCATTTAGGAAGCCTCAAACTACGTATAAAAACGCCGAGATTTTGTAGCCATTGCTGTGAAAACACACAGGAACTTTCAAACAGCTCGAAAAATGGACAACTACGTCCATCTAGTGGAAAGCATATTATGTCTTTATAGTCTGGTATTTTCACTTTCATGATACATCTAATATATTTAATCATGAACAAGTTTTAACGCTTGCTGTGTGAGCGTCACGCAATCATAGTATACCAACTGGTTTTGGTATTGCCACTGACATCGCTTATTTGGCTAGCAATGTAAAAGCAGCTTGTTACCGACAAGACATCGCAAATGTTCGGTCACACTGATGGCCATCCTACATGACTTGTTCATGGCTCCATGTTCAGCAACTGAACCCCTGGCACGCATGGATAAGGCATATGCTGGGAAGCGATGAAGCGCACGTAAATGCAATGTTTTTAACACCACGCAAACTGGCTCAAGACATAAATAAATGATGCAGATGTAAATGAATCAAGTCGTCAGCACTATAGGTAGAGATATAAGTGAATGCTTTGCCGAAAAGCTTTTAAAAGTGTTTGTGTGTATCCAAAGTACCACTGCGTTTGTTTGAAGCATCCTAGCGTGCAATATAGCTGTTTTTATTGATTGTGTTTTATGCATTTTTTCATCCCTGATGTGTGTGTTTCTCTACTTCTTTGTTTTGACAGCATGGTGAGAAAAGTAATGAACCTTTACTACGTGCAGCCGTTTTACCATGCGGTATGCTTCTTCTCTGGATGCATTACGTGGCTGCTAAAGGACAGCTTCAGTCGCAGCCACTTCTCGAAGGTAACGAACCATGTTTTCTTCCTATTTTTTCGCTACGTTATAACGTGCGCAAATTCATGATGGCGACGAACCATGACGAAGCAAGAAAGCCTACTAAGAAAAGAGTAGCATGCGTAGCCTAAGAGAAGGCATGTTGCCAGCACCCGAATGCACTTAAACATTTTTTTACTTGTGTTTATAATCGCGTATGGAGTGTGCGACCATGAAATGTAGTTTACGCAGCCTACTATGAATTAAAAAAAGATGTGAGTTTTTGTTTAGGTTTGAAACTACATCGCACTCACACCAACAGCGTTGTAGAAGTCACATAAGTTTCCTTTGTGTTCTGTTTCATTTTCTTTATATTTCAACAGCGAAACGGGGTAATTTTCGCTGCCATTACGTGGAAAGCATGCGCAATTGTAGCTGAAGATGGAGAACAAATATATCTTGTGCTGAAAGCTATATGTGAAGCACAGTACACTGCGACAATTTTCGTAATTATTACGTTCAAGTTCAGGCGTATCTATAAAAGTTCTTAAACCTATATGTTGATGTTCATCAACATAGATTGCTTAGCAATGAAGAAAAAAATTTAAAGTTTAAGGTCGAAGTAGTTTGCTGTGATTAGCGAATGCCGCCGCTAATAACAGTGGAAAATATTGAGGGATATTTGGAAAGATACCTTATTGCTGGCTTGAGCCATGCATTAATCTGTTTGGAGAACTCCTAGCACGCCACCTTCACTCTTCAATTCTTTCACGCTTCACAACTCATTGCTTCGTTTTGTTTTCATACGCAGGTAGTTGCTGCACTGTGCTGGATAGCGAGTCTCGCTTGTGGTATTACCTGCGTGTTCATCAAGTACCCGTGGTACCATGAAAAAGAGCCAACTGGTGAATGGGGAAAACTATCCACGGCTTTCTTCGACAGAATACTGTGGTCCATCTGCTTGTCTTGGATTACGCTGACGTGTTCTACGAAGCGTGGAGGTACGAAATTGGCTTAACAATTTCATAAAATAATTGAGGATGCAGCAGTTTAAAGCTTTAACGCACCAGCTTTAAAGGTGAACTTTCGACAAAATTTTATTGATAAAACATACGAAGATAAACGAAGATAACAAATAAAAGTAACAACTTTTTTTTACTTAGTGAAAATGAAAAAAAAATCCTTACATTTCGTGTCCAACCCGCACACTCATTTATGGGTGGCTGGAGGGAAGGAAAAAGAAGAGCGTTCAAACTGCAGCCTACATAAGCACTGCTCTTTCGTGCTCCCCAGTCATTCCTGATAGGATGGTAAGTAAAGTTTTCTTCAGGTAAAGAAATACTTTATTGATTGATATGTGAGGCTTAACGTCCCGAAACCACTATATGATCATGAGAGACGGCTTAGAGCAGGGCTCCGGAAATTTCGACCACTTGGGGTTCTTTAACGTGCACCCAAATCTGAACACACGGGCCTACAACATTTCTGCCTCCAACGAAAATGCGGCTGCCGCAGCCGGCATTTCATCCCGTGACCTGTGGGTCAGTAGCCAAGTGCGTTAGCCACTAGACCACCGCGGCGGGGCACATAAAGAAAGAAATACTTGCTTTTAACTTTTACATTGGCAGATGTCCACCTTGTTCGTCCGCCAGTTGTCATTTTGCATGGTGTGTGCACCAAATCGCAATATGGCCTCCTGAATTATGGCGGAGACTGCAGTATATATTTTTATTCGGATAGCAATTATATGAAAATCTAATATATACTAGCGGGTGAATTTTAACGCCGGCGTTGGCATCACCGTTTTAACCGTATATATATATATATATATATAATATATATATATATATATATATATATATATATATATATATATATATATATATATATATATATATATATATATATATATATATTATCGCAAGAAAGAAAAAGAATCCACGTTAAGACTTCGTCGCGTGAAATCAAACGTCAGACCTCTTGCTTGTGAGGACGAGGAGTTAGCCTCTGAACCACGAAGGAGCACCTCCTTCTACGATGAAACGGCAAGTTTTATATATCTACCACTTACAGCTGGCGATGCCCATGGGAGCAATCGTGTTTTCAGCGTTACCAGTGAGATGGCGCAATGAGCACCCGTCGCCTGATTGTCACGAAGTAGCAGCGCACGCTCTCATCTGCCACGCGTGCTTTGCCCCGCGCAGAAGGGACGGGGAGGGGATGTAGACGTTCACGCATGCGCGCGCTTATCTCGCAGTAGGGAGAATCATACGCCTCGAGCTTCCACCGGAACGATTCTGTTGTAGTTACAGGGCGCACAAAAGTCTCTGCACTCACTGCACTCTCTCCGTTTGCAAAAAGGGCACGCTTTTCAGACAAAGCAAAGTAATATTTGAAGCACGTATTCGCGTTCATGTGCACCTGTGAGCACGGTTTATGCGTCAATTGTGCTCGAGTGACGCAGGGCATGTTTAGGTCTGTTTGCAATTGTTCGCGTGACATTATAGTTTGTTGCTATGTCATTCATTGCTTCGGCTTTGCGGAAAAGTTGTGACTTTATTGCTACTTCCGTTGTCAGGAAGAAGTACTCTTCATTTATATTAAAGCAAAAACAGAGAAAAGGCAGGGAGGCATAGATAAGCTTTAGTTCTTAAAGCTTCTTAGTCTGAAACATCGTGCAAAATATTTAAATAACCTACTGTCAGTAATTTGATCGGTGCCTTCTATTTGGCTTATCAGCAATTTAGTTAATTAGTTAGCCAGGTAGGTAGGTAATTTGTTGGTTTGTTTGTCAACAACGCGAATGAGATTTGCTTAAGAGAGTTTTCAGGAACATAACAGATACACGAAGTCAAGCTAAGGTTCTATAAAGCCTTCTGCGACTTATGCAATGAGCCGTCTTAAATATTTTACTGTATTTGATTGCAACAACTACTACCGATGAACAGTTATATCAGTTACAGGTCCTCATAATGAAAAACTCAATAGTCTGCTTTTTCTAGGATGTGATGAAGCTTGTTGAAAAAAATAGGATAAAATTAGCAAACAAAAATTTATAACAATGTGCTTCCTTATGGGAGAATTCTGCTATTTATAAATATGCTCTACTCTTTTTACGACTAGAAAGCTCACTTTGACAATACCTAAAGTGAGCTTAAATATACATTGCAAGTGCCAGAAAATTGAAAAGTTGGAAGGCATCGTGGAAATGTGTTTTCTCAAAACACAGCAAGGCACATTCTAGCGGCAAGCTATCCCAGAGGCCAGTTCGGTTGTATGACTCTAAATTTTTAAGATGAAATGCTTGCCTTTGCCCCGCCGTGGTGGTCTAGTGGCTAAGGTACTCGGCTACTGACCCGCAGGTCGCGGGTTCAAATCCCGACTGTGGCGGCTGCATTTCCGATGGAGGCGGAAATGTTGTAGGCCCGTGTGCTCAGATTTGGGTGCACGTTAAAGAACCCCAGGTGGTCGAAATTTCCGAAGCCCTCCACTACGGCGTCTCTCATAATCATAAGGTGATTTTGAGACGTAAAACCCCACATATCAATCAATCAATCAATTAATCAAATGCTTGCTTTTTTAATTACCAAGTGACGTCATAACAAAAACCCGGATGCGCAACACGCATATCAATGACACGTTATACAGTTTATGGTGATGCAGCATTTTTTGAAGTGAGCTTCCGCCATGAGGAAGGGTGAAGGATTGGTTTTGCCAAATCATGCTGCCATTCTGTTAACATTGTAGACTACGTTTTTACAGTGCATAAAGGCCGGAAAGGTGTCGAGAAAATGTACATTGTCGTCTTTTATCAAAGATAGCAAGTGAGCACGTGTGATGCTGTGCCGTGGTAATGTGGCCCCTGCCTACAGTGCCATCAACCTTTACCTGAAAAAAAAAAAAAAGCAAGTCTGGTTTTTGCGTCATCTACTGACAAACAAAAAAGTATCATCGCGAGTACACAAATGCTGCTAGATAACGCTCGCACTCTGGTCTTGCCATGGGGTGATGCCGCCACGACTGGACGTGTTTTTTACACCGAAAGCTGTTATGAGATCACAACAAGGGTCATGCGTGCGATAATTGTCCACCGCCGCCGGTGTTCGTAACAACTATCATGGGAAACACAAAAAAAATCTGTGTAAATAAAAGACGCCAAACACAGAGTGCCATTTGAACCCGGGTCCCCTGCACACCATCCCGGTACTCTACCACTGAGCCACGTCAGTGCTTCAAACGCAGCTGCAAATTGGCCTTAGGCACGGTTGATATCGGGAAAAGAATCTCGGTAC